CATATGCATGCAGTATGTATGGGAAAATCTTCCCCTTTCTCCTCTCCCAGGGTTATGATGTCCTCCTTTTCCTCCTCTCCCTGAGATCCTTCCATTCTCCTCTACTGGGGTTCAGGCAAGATGGCTGACATGCTATTTTCACTTCCTTTCCAGTCCAAAAACCAACAATTTTTGTTTTTCAGAAACCATGACAATTTTTAAAAAACAAAAAAACTATTTCCATATTGAAAACTTTGAAATTGGAGAAAAACTGAACCAGCTCTAGTCAATAACTATGATTTAGCTGAAATAATAACAATGGAAAATAGAGGGAGTCAGTGATAATTAAAGTAAATCACACAGGTTCATCCAAAAGATATCTTGATTGGAGCCTGTGGTGGAAAGGTTTTCTGTGTACGTGGGCGATGGGAAGGCGGAGGGGATTACCGATACAACGTAAGTAGAAAAACTTACATCCTGTGGTCAGCCACATTCTTCCTTTTTGGTCTCACTCAGCTCATGTCTGTGTCCCTGTGAGAGACAGTTCATGTGAGTTACCTCCCTTTACTTTCCTACTGGCTGGCTTTTCAAGTCCAGTTTCAATTAGCTCTTGAGTAGGGCCGTGACCACCCTCCAAACTCATTTTGATGACTTGAATTCCAATCTCTTTGAAATATGAATCCTTCCTAGAAACTGGCCTTCTTCGCCTTTATTTTAATAACTGAGCATTAGCTCTGCCAAATTAGTTATTGTTTATATCATGAGCCCAATGCTTCTGCAACAACATTAATCTGTGCAGCCATTATATTCGCTATTTCATCAGGCAGTAAATAAAATGATCACACACAATGAATTAGTTTATCACTTATCTCTGTCCAGTATATTTCTCTGCAGATGGTCACCCACACAGTCAGGCTGTGATAGAGGCATATAAAAGGCTGTGTGAGCGACCTCTATGAGCTAAGATCAAGCGTAGTATCTGTTCTTATCAGTTTAATATCTGATATGTTCTCGATGTGAGAACTTTATATTAAATGGACATCTGCAGGGTGTTTCCCAGTAGATGATTGGTGTAATTGGCTAATGCTGCTGCTACTAACCCTGTAGCAGTTGTGCCCTGGGCTTCTGAAAAGGGTGATGGTTACAGTAAGTAGTGTTGCTGCAAAGACAATGGAAATGACATGCTTTCTATTTGGACATGAGGCACTGGTCCATATCACACATTGCTGATCCAGAAAACTTTCATTAAGAAAAACACTTTTTGACATACTGACCTTTCTGAATACTCTTTTTTAAAATCTAAAACTAAAAATTCTATATTGCATGTGGAAACTCTCAACTTAAAAATGACTAACCCAAATATGTTAAATCAATATTAATTTAAATATACTCCCTTAACTCCTGCCAAAAATATAAAATCATGCTTCTGGGTGGCAATGCTGTTTTGAAGCTTGTGCCTGAGGATTAATTTTATGGTCCAGATAAGGAGTTTTGAGAGCAGACACTAATAAATCCTTTATTATAGTGGCTTTTTACTAGGCACTGTTGTAATAAAGATGATGGTGTCATTTCATCTGCAAATGCTCCCTTTTACCTTGCAACAGTGTTGTTTCAAAGGTTAAAGCAGTAAACCTAGGCAAAATTGCATGGCTTCTGATGCAGCATTGAAGGTTTTAAGTTATCAATTTTTGCACAAATTGTATGTTCAGAGTCCCCTTAAATCAGTGGTAATAAAAGCAGAGATGAGCTGAAGAGGCTTTGTTTTGGCTTTGCAAATCCTCATTTGTAAGGTTTGGTTTCATAAAACTAAAGCCAGCTGTCCATTTGATCTGAACCTCCAAACTCTGGGGAATCTCTAAATGTATTTCAATTAGCACAAAATCTTTTGCTGCAGTTAATGCCATGACTCTCTAGTGCCAGTTCACAATGAAAAAGCTACAAAGTTATTTGAATACAGTAGATGCCTCTTTTGGGATGCCTTCGTGGGTAGTTTTGAGACCTGCATTATTAGCAGAGCTGACTGAAATTTAGAATTTCTGTCCCATGGGACATTTGAACATTTCAACATTTACTCTTAGGACAAAAAGTAGAAAAATTTGAAAATTTTCACAGAATGCAAATTCTAAAAAAATTCTATTTGGAAATGTCAAAATTATTTTGTTTTGACATTTTTGATCAAAATGAAACATTTTAACATTCTTGGAACTGAAATGCTTCATTTTGGTTTATTGAACTGACCCCAAATGCTTTAATACATCTGCTTTCCAGGCTGCTCCAGAGGCAATTGTGTTATTGGATGGGCCCATAGAGTTGATCACGAATGCTACTTACGTGGAGATAGACTAAGCCAATTGCCTCCAGTGGCAGGGTAATGTACGAGTCCCTAAGCACGAAAGTCCTTCATGTGCAGTTGGTGTGGAAGGTGCAAGCTGATAGACAGGAATAAGCAATGTGCAGCTTTTTGTAAACTGTCTGCATGTGTCATAGATACCACAGGACTGTTATCTGATGTTAGAGGCACAAACAGAACACCATGAGATTGACACACTCACAGCCTAAGTCCTTATTAAGCAGCAATTATTGCTATCAAGTATCATGAAGAAATCACTTTCCTGGGAGATGTCCCAATTAATTGAATTTTCCAACTCAGTTTGTCCTGTTTAAGTGGCATATATTGTACTAAAACTGGCAATTTAGTTGTAAACCATACTGTCAGTACACACTACATGAGGAGTCACGTAGTCTACTGGTCCAATCTTCCACCTTAGCTGATGAATCTATATGTATGATGTTAAGCTATAACCAAGAAATATGCGGCTAAACTGGGTTTGGAACAAGTGACCTCCTAATGGAACCTGACTCTGTGTCTTTTAGAAGGACATTAACTTGTGAAAGTGTTGTTAATTACTATTTTGTAGCAGAACGTGTGTTCCAAATATTTCACAGAAAACACACATTCGTGGGCATGATGGCGCAGTGAGGAAATTACATACACAGTGTGGGAAAGGGAGGACATGGGTAAACGATAATGTGGCAGCTCATTTCAGTCATGAGAGGTTTATTTTTGTAAGGGTTTGCACACTGTGTGCGCAGGCAATGCTGCAGCAGTACGATTCTTAGTAGTGACTTGACTGAGGCAAAGGTGGAGACTTGATGTATAGATTTTGAGATGTTTTACTAGGACTGATTAACAAAACAAAAGGCACTTAACTAAAATATCAGCCATATTATATCTATATACACTAAGCATTTCATAATATTTTAATTAGGGTCACATAATGGCTGGGAATATCCTATTGCCCAGAATCCTGGCGCAAGCAGAAATGCTATCTGAGCAAGTCAAAGTGTCAGCTGTCTTAGCTGCCAGAAAAAGACACTAGGGGAAGCTGGGAGCAGGCTGAGTGTCAGGCATAGCGGCATTACCCAGCTAGTTGGCAGTAGGGCATGAGTGGGAACTGAGCTGCCTCTGTGTGGTGGTGGAGAAGGAGCTGAGCAGACCAAAAGCAGTGAGCTGCCATTCAGAGGGAAGATGTGGAAGAAGGAGGGGCTAAGCAAAGCACAGATATTCAGTGAGGAGGAAGGGGAGAATATCCTACATTAGTGGTTGTCCCTGAAATACCATCAGGTCCACAAATGACACTGCACATGCATGTTTCACAGAGCTTTTAACCACCAGGCCACCTGCCTTTTGGGACATATTCCTAATGGTGGAAATACTGTGCCAGATCCGTGGTCCTGTTCCATTCGCTTTGTACAGCCAAGCAGATTTAAACCTGGCTTAAAGGGCTAGTTGGGGATTCTCTCAAAGTGGGAAATATCCTGGTGATGCAGGGGCAGCATAGCAATTCTTACACTCTTCCTACCCCTAATGTAAGGCATTGTCAGGGGAAACTGTGCCTTGGATGCAGGAATGGCCCCGGATGCAGGAATGGCAGCCAGTATAAGAAAGAGAAGCTTTAGGTTGCTCTTTTTTGTGCCAGGGGTTGCTGCTGGTGCTGGTGCCTGCCAGCCCAAGACTGAGAAGCTGTAAAGGTGGCTTCGTACACCTCAACCCCAATATAACGCGACCCGATATAACACAAATTCGGATATAACACGGTAAAGCAGTGCTCTGGGCAGGCGGGGCTGTGCACTCCGGCGGATCGAAGCAAGTTCGATATAACACAGTTTCACCTATAATGCGGTTAGATTTTTTGGCTCCCGAGGACAGCGTTATATCGGGGTAGAGGTGTATTACATTTTTCTCTTTTCTGGGATTGCACCACAGATCAGCCCACCTGGATCATACAGGCTATTGTTCTTGTCCTGCAGCACTGTAGTGGTAGAACAGGGGTTTTCCACACTAAACTTAAACCAAACAAGCCCACAGATGTATATGCAGCAAAGCAGGCAGAGATAAGTAAATGGCCAAATGTAGCTGCTTTCCAGCCTATTGTGCAGTGGTTTGAAGGAGGACCTGGGAAAAAGCATGTTTGTGGAGAGTCACTGTAGAGGAGCGGACTCACCCCTGCAGCACCTCCTGCTGGTCTCTCAGGGAATTAGCTCGATTTCCAGCCTGGAGCACCCTCTGCAGGCCGGTGATCTACCTTGTCACTGGCCTCATGTCCCTCCCAGGACCCTGGTGCCCCGTTCTCTGGGTGCTGCCCCTTGGCAGTACACACACATGCTGGGTCTCCCCTCCCAGGGGAACCCCCACCAGCTAATCCCACCTCGCCTCAGTGTAAGGCTACTGCCAGTCACCATCTAGCCCCACTCCCTGGGGCAGATGGCAGTATCAGCCACTCATCACAGACAAGGTTGGGTTTGGACCTGCTGCCTTTGCCTATCCCTGGGCTGCCCTCTGCAACCATCAGTACCTGTTGGCCCAATGCTAGGCCACAGCCTGGGACTTTCCAGGCTGGAACTCCCCAGCTCTTCTGCCTTTCCCCAGCCCTGCTCCACTCAGGTACTCTGTCTCGAACTCCCTGCAGCCAGGCCCTTCTCTCTCTAAATGCAAAGAGAGACTCTTGAGTCCCCTGGCTCCCAACCTCTTATATAGGGCCAGCTGAGGCCTGATTGGGGTGTGGCCCAGCTGCAGCCACTTCCCAATCAGCCCAGCTTAGCAGCCCCCAGCCACAACCTTTCCCCAGGGCTGTTTTAAGCCCTTCAGGGCAGGAGCGGGGTAACCACCCCACTACAGTCACACTGAATGCTCAACAGCAACAACAAGCAGTGCTAGTGGAGGACTAACACAGTGCTATTCTGGATTGCAAACTAGTTAGACCTCATGCATGTCATTTATTGATGAGATTTTTCTACTTGGATTTGAAATAAATGACTATGTCGTCTCATTTCCGACTTGCAGCCTCAGACTGGTGATGACAGTAGCTTTTTAATTTATATTAAAAGAAGCAAAACTGAACATATAAAATGAAGTGAGAATCACACTATAGTAGACATAGGAACACTAGCACAAGAGTCCAAACCAGAAGAAGCAGAATGCAGAGGAATGCTTTAGCTAATCACAGTAGCCATCATATTTCAGTTGATTTATCTGAAAGAATGGAGCCATGGCCCCAAAATTAAGGGAAACATGTCTTCTTTATGGAAAGCTAAACACAAAGTTTTAAAAGTTGACGGAGAAGTGAGCAGAATGTTTTTCCCCTAAGCTGGTCACAAGTGAGTGATAGAAACCCTTTTCATGTATAAGTACTTTAGGTACCAAGATACAGAGTAAGTCACATGGGTTAAACCAAGAACATTTTAATCATTTTTATACAAAAAGGAGAAAAAATGAATCAGAATAATCATACTAAAGCAATATAGCTTAAGAAAAAGAGAAGTTTGACCGATAAGCCAGCTTCCTGATCCAACTTCTTCTTTCAGTACAAGTGATGAAGGGTAGCTAAGTGTGTTGAACTTGTCATATGTATGATCTTTTTGGCTAGTCATTTTTCTATGGCTAAAAGTTTCCAAATGTTGTTACGCCATCTGACCAGTGTAGGGATAATGTTTTTGCTTGGTTTTCAGTAATGGAAGGGAAGGGCATTCAAGTTCCTTTAAAATTCTGGGTATATTAGCACATATAGCATAAATCTCAGTGAAAATCTCTTATTCAGAGTTTGAGAATAAATGACAAGGATTTCACTTTCACAGTATGAACA